CACACACACACACACACACACACACACACACACACACACACACACACACACACACACACACACACACACACACTCATCTCACTTTTTTCCACTCCTTGTTTACTCAGTACTTTTACCTCTTCTTGCATCACTATCAGCATCCATGTTTTTCCAACATTTTTGATCATCCATTCCACATTTACTTTCTCATATCTCTGCTGGAAATCCAGTGATGTAATCATTAAGCAATGGATAAGTGCACACAGCCGATGGTATATTTTTCATGTAGATGTAGTTTCTAAATACTATTACAAAATATGTCCCGTAGTTCTAGATGCGATAACAATTATGTAAGCTGGACTTCTAAGAAAGAGTGACATGGCGAAACCGCAAGACCAAGCATTTACAAAGAAGGAGGACAAAAGATAAACTGATCCACAGACTTAAAACTAAACAAAAGCACATATGGTTGATTTTCCAATCCTAAAGTCAAAACTGTAAATGGATAGTTAATTAAGCTTTAGTCAATACCTAGTTTGCTTTTGACAATCAATAAGATTATTATTAAAGCCTCTAGTCACCCGTAGCCTCGTGCAGTCCTCAGAGATTTTGGTCCAGATTGTCATAACACGGTTGCTGCAGATTTATCAGCTTGACATACACGATGAGTCTCCCGCTCCACTACACCCTAACAGTGCTCTGTTGGACTGAGATCTGGTGACTGTGGAGGCCAGTTGAGTACAGTGAACTCATGTTCAAGAAACCAGTTTGAGATGATTTGAGTTTTGTAACCCAGTGGATTATCCCGCTGGAAGCAGCCGTCAAAAGATGGGCACACTGTGGTCATAAAAGGTTAGACATGGCCAGCAGCAGTATTCATTTAAGCTGTGAAGCTGAGTTTAATAGTGGTCATTTGATATCAAGGGGGTCAGTGTAAACTGTAGCATCAGTTTCCCATTCTCAGATGACAGGTTTTGATCACTGTGGCGTTCTGTGTCTGCTTAAAGATTTGAATCAAGGTATGCAGAGATGCTCTGCATGCCTTTGCTGTAACGAGTAGTTATTTGAACTACTGTTGGCTTTCTCTGGGCTCAAAACCGAGGTTAAATCCCAGGAGAACAAGAATTTGTGAAATCCTCAGACCAGCCCATCTGGCAGAAACAGCCATTCCCTGTTCCAAGTCATTTAAATCATTTTTCTTTCCCTATTATGATGCTCGGTTTGAACTTCAGCAGGTTATCTAGACCATTTCCACAAACCTCGATGCACTGAGTTTCTACCATATGATTGACTGATTATATTTACACTTTACAGAGAAGCAGAACAGGTGTAACTAATGAAATAGCTGGTGGGTGTACACATAGTATTTATTACCGTGTAAAAAGTTTTATAAACATCAGCTGCAACTTAACAAACACGTGGCGGCTCACACATGATTTATAATACAGTTATTAGTATTACTCATTATTCTATTAATGAGTATTTCAGTGTTGACAGTGACAGTAAAACGTTTTAATTAACTATTTAAAATGACTATTATGAAGCGTAATCAAAAAGCTTTATTTAGAGTCTATGTTAGATGACTAATCGTGCAAACAGGTCTTTGGCAAGCCGGATAACAAAGAAAGCAACAAAGTTATGTGCTTATGTATTTATACGAAACTTATTACTGGTGAGATGCCTGTTTTTGTCAAAGAAAATTGTAAAGAATAGCCTCTTCATAGCTATAGAGGATTAGAGTTGGCACAAAATTACAAAGTCTATGATACAGCAGACATGAGCCAAGGCTTTGTTAGGGATTCTCTGCACCTTTTCCATCAAAGACCCTTGATTTAGTCCTTGCTGCTTTTCTTCTTCCTCTCTTCATCTCTCTCACTGCCTTACTGGCTCTATCTGGGCCTGCTGCGAGGTTGTGCGAGCACTGGGTGGCAGTTCCTTATTGTACAGTGTCTATATGAGTGTGCGTCTGTGTGTATGTGTGAGTCTGTATGCTGTGTGCGACTGATAAGACCCAGGGAGAAGAGCCAGCATGCCGACATATTCTTGCCACCGCGGTTATCGCCTGTCGCAGCTGTGCCTGAGCTCTGCGACATCTGCTCCCTCACAGGAAGCCTATGCTGTGGCTCACAACACCTCTCCCTCACACACACACACACACACACACACACACACACACACACACACACACACACACACACACACACACGCATATGTACATGCATGAACACATACTTTACTCCCGCTTCTCCATACAGTGAGAACATATTACCGGACTGTACCCCCCCACCACCACACACACGCGCACACACAGTTACATCAGGTAAACTACATGAGACAAAGAGCTGTGTTTATAGTTCTCAATGGCACATTTTGTTTTTCTCAGTCTATACATGTGTGCATGTGTGTGTGTGATGAATGGGCTGGAGCACCAACGCTGGAGTTCTACTGGGTTTTTATCACTGAATTACAGGGAGGGATGCTTATGACTAAGCCTAATTATAGAGGCCTTATCGCTGCAACGTTCACAAAGCTCATTACTGCCAAGAGACGGTATGCGCTGCAGGTAATTCACCACGTTGGGTATTAGTCCTCGCACTGGCTTACCGTTTCTACATATTTAGAGTCTATAAAATTAGGCTTTTAATGTCTGATTCTTAATGCATCTCTCTCTTCAAACCCTTCGCTGATTTAAGTGAAGGTTTTCATTTTTATACCTAAAGGCAGTGTTTTCACTTCTTTATGAATCAATTACATTTTTTTCTCTTTTTACTTTTTTTTTTTAACCTCACATGTCTTTTCATGTATTCCTCAGCTGTCTGCTCTCTTAAACCTGTCCATCTGTCATTCACCATTTTTGACCTTCATGTGTATTATGAAACCATTAAAGCTCAACAGTGAAACTCCAGAATCTGGTTCTGTTCCTTTTAGCTGCTTGGGGAAGCCCAGAGGAAGACACCCCCGGCTCACCCACCCAACCACCAAAAGCTCTAAAAACCTCTTTCCTTTTCCTTTCCAGCGCCCACAGGATAAATGTGCTCCACTGGGCTTGGTAACAACAAGGACAAGTTTATTCAATCTAGACTGGTAATATGAAGAAATGGGGGGGAAGCAGGGGGGGGGCACGCAGACAAAAAACAAAGCGTTAAGAGAGCAATTTAATACCAGTTTTATTTGTTATAAAACAGGCCAAAAAAGGCCATGTTTTGATGCCCTTCTAACCTTGAATCCTTTTGCTTCAGTCATCAAATAGCAAGATGAAGAAACCTCACATAACCCCACATAGCATGTAGCACAAAGTCAACACAAACTGATTATACGTCAATCACTTGAACTTAATGAGCAGATCAGACCGCTGCGGGACCCTCCGTCACTCATCGCGATTAACACGATGCCAAAAGACCTTCATAAAAAAGGTCCTGTAAGATGACAAGCTCATACCTTCGCTATATCTGTAACGGCTGCTGGCCACCAGGTTGTGATCGAGGCTTCCAGGCTGGAGTATGTGGGCAGTGAATTTATCCCTCAGCTCGCGGTGGCTGATAAGTGTGACGGTAGGGACACGTGGAGCAAACGCTGGAACAGCTCTCAGGTCAGCCCTCTTCTGGCGCTCCAAATGGACCTCAGCAGACATGTTCGGACTTTCCTGTTTATTTGAGAGGTGAGAGGCTTGGAGCATGAGGGACATGCTCTTTGAAACTCTCTGACGCACACTGGCAGCTTGCAGGTTCAACCGTGGAAGCAGCAACAGCACACTTAACACTAAAAGTTAGTATTACCTCCAAAGGCTTTCCTGCTGAATGTTCTCGTTCAGTTTCACTTGAGGATTTCCAT